CCCCGTCTGTACACATCCAGAAACTCCAAATACTGAGCCTAACATTGCCACAGCGAAGCATAGCCAAGCATTGCGACGCATTGCACGGCCGCTTTGTGTCCTCCCAGGTCCCTCTCTGGACGCTCAGCCAAAGGACTAGAAGCTCTCCGTGACTAGCTGCCTCGGATTTTCGCTGGGTCCGGCAAGGCCAGCTGGGGCATTCGTGGCGGTTGAAGGCCTAGCTCGTGGAACTTGTGGCCTGGCTCAACTAACCACAGCCACGGTGAACACAATATGGCAGGGATGTAAAGCCTGTGTCAGAATTTGCTTTCAGATCTCAGTCGCCGCAAGCTGTGGCTCCTTGCGGAACAAACAACGATCTGGAGAGAATGATGTTCTCTCGTAAATTCCCAACCATAAGCAGCGATTCAAACCTCCCAATGCAGTGGATACACAACGGAAATCCAGTCGTTCTACTGAGCAAAAGCTGCGTCTTTCCGACTCAATCCAGCATGATCTGGCTCTGCATGAGATCGTGCACAACCCTTCTGAAGACACCGCCGCTACTGGCTTCATCTTTGTCCCTGCAACACGAACACTTGTCCTTCCGTCCAATCCACAATGTAACCAAAATAAACGACCTAAAATACTCGGGGCCTTGGGTTGCCAACTGCAACCCATGGTCGTTTCACAAATGCTGTCAACAAGCAAGTAGTACTTGGCATGCAAGGCACGGGCTGCCAGCAAATCAGGCTCGGACATGTGAAGCAGCGAATGCTGCAACCCGCTAGCACGAGGCAAAGTGTGTCCTGGAAGCAATTCTGAAGATTGGCCGAGCTGTGCAGTTATCCAATCATGCCGTGACTCCAACCTGCCAATCCTTCTCCACTTCCATTTCTTGTTGGAGGAAAGGCAATGGAACTGGACGTGCGATTAATCATTACCAGCATCTCTTGATGCATACACCCCCCATCCCCCTGCCTCCAGGGACTCCACAAATACATGCTTCTGTTTTGGTTGACGTTGTTTTGCAGGGAAACCATGCGAATGAACATTACTCGGTTTACGGGGTTGCCGCAAAGATGACAATCCCACATTTACAATCTCAGCCTCCACACTGGCAAAGAAACACATTGCAGGACGTGCCGTGGTGCAATGACGTCCACTGACATTCCCCCGGCACGCCTTGCCAGCCACGCACAGGCGTCAAGATTGGGCCTGGAGCCAATCTCCACCTGAGCAGGTGCTCGGTGTGGAGTGATTACTGCCATGGCACGTGTGGATGTTCGGTTTGGGACAGAGAAATTGAGATCAGCTCAACCTTGGTGAAGACAACATGTTTGCGCGTCTTCACCTTGGCCGCATGAAAGACTCTACTAACTGCAAGGAACATTCTGCCACCATTTCAACAAGTCTCCTATTGCAGAGTGGCCGTCTCACGTTGCCTGAGATGGTGTCTGATGCTCGGACGAAGCTGCGAGCCAAAGAGTAAAACAAATAATATCCGTCGACTGGCACTTCTCCCAGAACTGAACTAGTCATCCTCTGGCTCCCACTTCGGGCTCACTTTGGGACCAAACAAGGCGGAGGTCCTTCTGTTTCACACTTGCAAAAACAGTTTGGGGTCCATATATATATATATAACAGTGATCCTCCGTTTGGGGCCACTTGGAAATTTGGGGCCACTTGGAAAGAGGACCCTCAAGTTTCCCCTCCCTCAGCCCTCGATTGCCGAGTCACCGGGGAAGTGCTTCACTTCGCGCTCCCGACCATCCATGGGCTGGTGGTACAGAAAGGCCCTGCCCAATGACCCCCTTTTGACCCCCTTTTGACCCTCCTTTTGACACTCCTTTTGACACTCCTTTTGACACTCCTTTTGACCCTCCTACGAGTTATCTTGCTGGCTGGATGCCCAGCTGTGTATTGATCGATAGCCCCGGAAAGCAAGAGCCAGTGAACGGATCAATTTGGCCGGATCGAAAGCTCAAAGGCTCCAGTAAGCAAGAGTTAGACTGGGGGGGTCAAACACACAGGGACTCCCAGTTGTGGACCCCACTGGCGCCGCCGATCTCTGCCGCCTTTTAAAGGGGATCAAATGATACTGCGAAGTGGCATCATAAAGGTGGGGTGTGCAGTCAAGCGCTTGATGCTGAGTGCGTCAACAAGAAGATGCTTGCAGCTTCTCAAAGATTGCCAACACCCATATATGCCACATAATATGCGGTGTTGGCCATCAGAAAGTTCCTGGGCATCTGCTGACCCAATTCCGGCCTTCGCAATTGAAGTATTGGGGGAGCGAGAGTGAACGGCGCCAAGATGACAAATGCCAAGCCCACTGCAAGATTGCTATGCAGTTCCACGATTCCCCGGGGCCGGCTTACCACAATTGGGGACAAATGTGCACACTTCAATCATAATAAGGCGGGCCCGGGCAATTCTTAGTCTCGGGATGTTGCTCGCTCTCATGCCCCAAAACTCGAGACAATGGTGGCGCGACTGTCCGTCTCTGGCATGGTTCCCGCAATCAGCTGGTCCCGGGGTGGGCCCCGGCGCTTTCCTGCTAAACGCCTTAGGTGGTTGGATCTAGCTCCCAAAGCATATGTGTATGTATATAATTATATATATACAGATATGTGTATATATATATGTATATATGTATAATATGCATGTATATGCAGTATTGCAAGGCGATTTCAGAATTCTTTAGACTTGGACAAGTTCTCCAGAGATGGGAACATGTACAAAGACACGGCAGTATCACACTTCAACCTATTTGATCTGGGTGAAACACAATGATTCACTGCTGAAGTGGGTTCACTCCCCCAGCAAGCTAGGCTCTGTTCGCCCAGGTTTAATCGGAGCAACCTATCGAATGCTTGATGAGCTTCCGTTTGAACCGCTTACTTCCAGGACAAGCCTTCCATGACGCGAAAAGGACACTCCAATGCGGCCAGGGACCAGTTGGAATACCAGTTGGAATGCGCCCAAGAAAACACCTACACTTTTAACGCAATGAATTTGTCCAGAGTCTCAAAAGTGTCATTGGTCTCAAGCCAAACAGCGTTTTCCGGCATTGCCGGCTTTTCGGGGCAACTGCTACGATCCGAAGTCAGGCACCCAAACCGATGGCACGAAATGGCCTGATGATGGAGGTCTCGCCCTGGCATATCACGCCATTAATTTGCGGAAACCAGGCAGTGAACCCTCCGAGTGTAGTTGCTGATGGTTCAAGTAACCAGTTGATGATCTAGCCCCTGTTTGATTCATGGGGGGTGTCCCGCTTGAAATGGGATCAACTTCACCTTTTTATGGGACCCCCCTTATGAATAATACCAGGTTGATGACTCCCGGGTTGGCGGTACTCATGGGTGACATCGTTAAGCAGAACAAAGACCAGGAAAGGCCAGCCAAGCCGCGTTTCCCAGTGACTATCTTGTGCGCTGGAAAAGCCGTTAAGCAGCAACGGGAGTCTTACACAACTCTACGCGGTCTTGTCTGGCGGCGCAATCAATCGCCGTGAGGGGAGATATGCTAGAACATGCTAGAACATCTCCTCTCTTGTGGAGACCAGGATGAACCTGGGGTCAGGAGAATTTGGCCGAGCCTGAACAGCCTTGTAGGAAACAGCCCTCAATCCCGCTGCCACTGCCCACGACGCGCATCCAAACCCGGCCTCACAAGCGCCTGGCGAGAGGAGCGCCACATCAGACAATTGCATTCATATTGATGCCTTCACTTTGCGCTGGCAGGTTGACTTCTCCAAAAAGAAGGTGCCAACAAGCCAGCCAGAAAGCCAGCAAGAAACCAAGCAATCAGGCGAGCAAGCTAGCAAGCGTGCAAGAAAGCAACAAACAAGAATGGAAGTAAAGAAGCCAACACGAAAGCAAGAAAGCAATCAAGAAAAACTTAGCAAGCAAGCAAGCAAGCCAACCAGCCAGCCAGCAAGCAGGCAACAAAAGCAAGCAGGCAACAAAAGCAAGCAGGCAACAAAACAAGCATTCAGGCGAGCAAGCCAGCAAGCGAGCGAGGAAGAGAGAAATCAGCAAACAAGCATGAAAGTAAGCAAGCCGACACGAAAGCAAGAAAACTTAGCAAGCAAGCAAGCAAGCAAGCAAGCAGGCAAGCAGGCAGGCAGACAGGAGCTCGCCACTTCTTTCCCGTGTTGTTTTAGTCGTTCAGCACTTCGACCAAGGCACCGTCTTCAATGGGGGTTGTCGGAGGAGCAAGCTATAGTATCAATAATGTGCCTCTGACAAGATCTGTTGGGCGTGAATCGCCGTCCTAACTCTTGACAGCTTGATGCCGATCTAAAACCACTGCCCTATTGAGCCACTATCCGACCGCTCGAAGCAATGTGACCTGAAACTCATGCCAAAGTGCACCTGCAGCTGACGCGAGCCAGCCCTTGTCCTCGCTGGCTTTTCTCAGAACATCTGCTGGCACCTGATGTACGGCCCGGAGAATATATTCAGGATTGATTGGGCCCAGGGTTTGTCTTAAACCAAGTGACGACCCATAGAATGTGAGTTTCCTGTACGATTTCAACAATTCTATCCATCGAATCCATGCTTTCTGCCATATCTTGCACGAGGGAGTTCTGGGCATGTACTAGCGCAAAAGCTCTGTCTACCCAATGCGCAAATATGCAATTCTATGATTACAGTGGCATTTGGAGATGATCTCCTTGTCCCCTCCCCCCGAATGTCATTGGGACGGGTAAGCACTTGCATGGAGGGGTAAGATATTGCCGCAAGGATGTTTTCAGTGACGCGTACAAACATTCATTTAAAATATATATATATATAAATCATTTTGGTTGTTCTCTTGGAAAAACTAAATCGAGATTCTAATTTCCAAGACCAAATCCATACAAACCGAAGACTAAACCAATTCTGAACAGTACTGGATCAATGCCAAGCAAAACAAAACCAACACGCCACAGACCAATTCTAAACGGCACTGACCAGTCACATTTTACTGGGCGCTTTTTAAACCCTAATTTGAAAGATACTGGAAGCTACTTGGGCTTGCCCGGCTTCCCCCCCCCTTTTTTTTGTGTGGGTTCCTCTACTAAAATCCTTGAAGTCCCTCTTCGCCCCCAATTTACCCTGGCGAGCATGCACATTTGAAAACAAACAAGGCTGTCTGTGCATAGTGCATGGTGCTAGTGGGCTGCCCGTGTGGTTTGACCAGTTGTGGTGGATGCAATGCCTAGGAACAATAAAACACATCTTGCTGAAAAGCGTTGCATCACAGGTAGCAACGCTTGGGGGTTCTGCTGCTCACCCGGCCTGGGCCCACTGAAGTGCAACCTGGAGGCAGCTACATCCACCACTGTCCGGCCTTGGCAGAGGCGCACGGCAATTGATAGATCATCTTGATTCGGGAAGCAAGATGGAGCTGGGGAAGCTTGCTGCCGGGAATGCTGCAAAACAATCAAATACTCATTTTTTCTGCTCTGCCAAGGCAAGGTCTGTGTGTACCGCATTGCTCTCATATTCTCCAGCGGAGACCTTTGAGCCCAACCAAAGCAACTGCCACTCGTCGGCACTCAGTGCTCCTCACCCCCAAGCCCCTGGCTGCCAACAAAAACCGATTCTCCAGCCCCTGTTGGTGTCCCTTTCGAATACATTTCGCCACGGAGTCCCAGCTCCCAGCTGCCATCTCCCTGGGCTCCGGTCGGTACAGGCCATCCTCCGGACTCTTTGGCTCGAAGCCCTCAATCCGGTCGCACGCCGCGATGGCGTCCCTGGCAGCCGTCGCCGTAGCCACACCGGGCATGGTAAAAAAACCTGCGCTCCACCCAAAACGGGGTGCTGAAGCGTGGGGAGCCCCCCTAAGCCACAATCAAAACCCAGTGACTAGAAAGTTTGCAGCTGGAACCAAAAGGTCAAGAGGAGGTTGGTCAACGTTGGCCAAGCGCTCACTGACTCAGAGCATCCAGAAGGCCCGTGTTCAATCAACGTCTCTGTAACCAAAACGAGTGTGTTGCGCTCTGCAGAATTCTTCAGCGCATCCTACTTCATGTGATCGGAGTTTGTTTCTGGCAATCACATGGATCCACTACCCAACCACTGCGAGCGTGGAACCACATGGATACTCCCCTCTTGGGTGTGCGATGCAAACGGTTCATTCTTCATTGTTGCCCAGAATGTCCCCTCGCGTTCCCTGCTTGTGACGCCCCCCTCGGCATTCCCCGCGCCTTGCGTTGTCGCACGGCCACACCAGTAGCGTGCCTTGAAGGTTCTTTTTCAGCCCCATGTCCGGCCGTGCAAATTGAATTGTGCCTAGTTCAGGAATGGAATTGAAGCTGTGCATCTTGTCTTGATAAAGAGATACCAGATTGGCCTACTACAGCCCCACAAGAGATGCGGTCGATGTTCAGGGGGCCCTTGGGCCTCCCAAGTTATTTTTCGTCCTTTTGATTTGGGCGCGTATTGGGAGTCCAGGCCAACACGAATAGCCCCGTCCAAATTTGGGATCACACACAACAACTCGCAAAAGGGACTCAATCCATGATCTTGATACATAAACACTCCGAGATGTCAGCATCTTGGATCTTGGAAAACCCTTTCTGAAATCATGAATAGCACGGTGTGTCCACAAGCCAGGATTCATTGTCCCCCCTGTGAGTTTGGCGGGTAACCTAGTGCGCCCCATGTCTTCCTACTAAGTCGTACTTAGACGGTGAATATAAATACTCTGTAAATAGCAACACTCCTGCTGACATGACATGGCAAACGCAGCTTGGATTCTGTTTCAGCTTCGCATTGGTTTCCCCAGGGAAGCAAAGCAGCTCATCTCAAACGGGCCAGCGTCGCCATGCATCACGTCCTGCGAAGCACGGAGCGGCTTCCTGAGATGCTAAGATGCCGAAGCGGATTTCTCACTTTTCCACTACACCGATCTCATTTTCCAACACACTGAATTAAGAGTGTATGTAAACAAAGAACACCCACACCCTGCAGCACGTTCGGAGTGTAGCAGTCCTCTGAGAGTTTCGTCTGAAGTGCGAAGGGGTAGAATGCTGTCTCCTGGCGCTTGCGCCAAGCTGTGACCCTCCGAAATGGGTGTCGAGGTGGTTGCCAAAAGCCAGGAGACGTTGACAAATCAATAAGTGCAGATTGGCTAATACCCCTTTCCCTAAAACACATATCACACAACAAGTGGCAAGCAGCCCTTTCCGTATCTCCAAGGTGCACTAGCAAGTTGTGAAGAGCGACTGGCCACGCCTCCTGGAACAGCTTGAAGCCGCTCACAGAGGCCGGAAGCCATGCGGCGCCTGCAGGTGGGCCGGTGTTGGTCTGGGCCGGTGGCTGGTTGCTCTTGGGCTGTGCCAGTGGGTGGTCTGGCTGTTGGATAATTGGTGGTTGGCAGGAGCAAACCATGTTGGAGAATGCATCACCCTACGTCGTTACGTAGAATCCGCACCAGAACAAGTTGTCTGTTTCTCTGGCCCAAACATCCCAAACGGCGAGCTTCAAGATGTTGACTTGAAAAAAAATGGATGATGCAATTGGTTGGGCTCGCAAAGTCCTTCATCTCTGCAGCTTCCGCAAACCCGCAAATGTCACATCGAATTCTGCCACGGCCTGTTCTTGAGATGACACCCCAGCGGTCGCCCGACTCGCTAAAATCGCCACCTGCGCAGTTTGGAAAGGTGCATGGCTGTTGTGCATGGCTTATTCCCCCTTGGCTGTGGAACAATTAATGACGCTGCCAAATATGTTCAGGGGGAGAGATGAACATGCCGTTCGGCTGCACGGGATACATCCCAAGCCCTGACCAAGAGTCTGGCGTAAAGTGCCGTAGGCAAAGACAGCCTGCACGCCATCCATGTCCTCTGGCTCTCGGGTCAAGGGATGGGGTACAGGTCCCCGGATCCTGCGGGCCGTGGTTGCGCTGGTTAGAGCTCGGGCAACAAGATTCGGACGGCTGCTTTGAAGATCCCAACTCAGACATACATGTGTGTGTGTTGTTCACCTTATGCAATGAGAGGGACAAACAAAGGAATATCCTCTGCCATTTGAAAGCAATGGTGACCAAAAAAACTCGCAGCCATGCCATATCAAGGGATCAGGAGCTGTTTGGGTCATGTTCTACTGCTGCATCATATTGCACCCTTCACTTTGCAAATAATTGAAAACTTGCACGTGTGAGCACCGCACTCCACACAAGTGGCTCCTGGAAGCAAAGAAAGGCCACTAGCTCGCACAGCTTCACAGCTTCGGTCAGGGCCCTTCATTGATTCATGGTGGCAACTGGTGTCGGAGACTCAAAGCCACCACTCCCACGGTCAAATGATCCTCTCGCACCCTGTCACGCAGAAAATTCACCGCTTTTGCGCCAGCTGGTGTTCGCTGTCTTTCACCGAGCGTGGAGGTGAGAGCAAAATTTCTATGTGCTGCACAGGCAATGCCCGATGCAGTCTGATGGCAAATGTCGGCTGCGTTGTCCGGCGTACCTTTCGTAACCCCCTGCGTCACCTCTCTGGAGGCCAAAGAGGGAGGCAGCGTGGGCAGGTCTTCATCGAAGAATCTGATGCGCAATGGAAAGTGCAAAACCAGACTAAAAGCCAATCTGAAGGGTTCCCGCCAACCTCTGCACCCCCGCTCCCTAAAGAGGCATCTGTGTCTACATAGAGGGGAAGTCATCATCCCCGAAGACCATCTCATCGTCGTCGTCGTCATTGTCCTGCATCGCAGAACTCAGCATGATTGAATGAGGATTCGCCGGACACGATGGATGTTCAATATGTATGTGTACAGTATACATATCTATTATCTATTGCCGACAAAGCTGCTAGTTCGTCGTCGTGAATCATGGGATGCCACCAGCAAATCGTTGCTCTCGTTGGGCTTCAAAGTAAAGCATGTTGCGGCAAAAAGCCCTTTGCGAGTCACGGGACGCCGGGTATGGACGTGTCCCAAAATGTGGAGACCGCTAAAATTGGTCTTTCCATTCCGTGTTGCACTAAAAGCAACCAAACAAACCACCCCCAGGCAAGGCTCCTCCGGAAACAGGCCCTTCTTTCGCAAGAAGTTGTTGGCCTCCGGGGGCGTTTGGGCAGTGGGGCAACCCCCGCCCACCACCAGGAGACCCATACCCAGTTGGCCTAACTCAGATTGGTTGGAATCAGGTGCTCAACATCGCGAGGTAAGAGGAGAGTGTGCTCTGGCACACGCCAGAGCCTCATGCTATACATCCAACGCACCTCAAGCCTGCCAAAAGTGTTCCCCGCACTGGTGGATTTCCTTCACGCCCCTGCGGACCCAGTGAACTGAAAAGCTTCAGAACCTTCAGAAGCTCGTGGCAAATCGTGGCAAGGTGGACAGCAAGCCGAGTGCGCTTGATCGCCAAGCCCTGCCTCAAGGATCATTGGCTCGCGGATCCTGAGAGAGGGATCGCCATCTATGGTCGTGTCATGTCGTGTCGATGGATGAGTCGTGGCCAATGTCCGAACAGCTTGTCTAGTGGCCAAGTCGCGCGCAAGCAAACCAAATTTTGGTGGTCTAAGCGCCAGGAACTCAAGAGATCGACAATGCCAACAACAGTGTCTTGTTGGAAACTAAAAGGTTGGGCTAAAACATCGCGACTCGAAGGCAGAACGAAGCTGCTGGCAGAAGCATGCTTCAAACTTAATGTCAAAACAATGAAAGTGTGGCTCGCAAGCATTGTCGAAGCTTAAAGGGCTGATGAACTGTGGCAAGCCTCAACTATTTGTTCACTCTTCGGTCCCATTCACTGAATCTGCAGAAATGCTGGCTTCCAATCTATCAGGTTGTAGCTTATCGCCCAAATCCGCCACTTCTGAACAGCGGCTTCAGCGCTTAAACCACACAACATACACACAGAGCGTCGATCAGGTTGCGGATTCTCGAAATGTCCTTGAACATCCAGGTAAGCCGAAATAACAGTGCTTCTGCCAAAGGAAAATCTCACCTGCTGCTTTGTCCAACCGCAATGGTTCTGGGAAACTGTGAAGCCCAGGCAGCAGCTTGGAATGAGTCCCATGCAGAAA